CAACCCGAGCTCCAGATCAGCCAGCACAAGAAACCGTGTCAGGGTCTCTGAGAGACCAGGCTTCATTCCAGGTGAGGCTTCGAGGAGGGGAATTTCCATCCCCAAACCGCTGCTATTTTGCTTTAATGCCAGAGTTATTTAAATCATTCCCCCAGTTATCACACTTGTTAAATATTAACGAGTGACCTATTGTAAAGACCATATCACAAGTGTTGGAGCACCACAGCTAATCCTGCGTTGCCAGAACAGCTTCTTTCAGTGCAGAACACCTTTGGAGGGGGTTATTTTTTGACCAGCTCTCTTCTGACAAGTACAGGTTAAAGGTTAACAGCAGCCCACGCTGGCAGCAGCACCTCATGATGTCAAGAACAACTTGCTGCTGATAGCTGGAGGAGTTGTTTGGGCACAGAAAGTATTTTAAGAATCCCCCTCTCTTTGCTTTGGTTCAGCTGTTCTATTTTCCCTCCTTACAACGAGAACAAAACATGTGTGTGGATGTTTTCCTCCACTTTTGCTGTTCTTGTTGCACCAAGCCCAGGCTGCTGCACAAAACTCATGACAAGTCAGAGACCAGAAAAAGTCAGGATACAAAAAAAATTGTGTCTGCAAGATTTTTGAGCTGTTTCATATAAACTTGAGTGATTTTGGACCACCACTCAATAAAAACCTCAATTCAGCATCTAGAGACAGCTGAAGGCATGAGGTGGGGACAGAGGGCAGTGACTCCTGTGCCCTGGCTGTGMTGGCTGCAYAAACACAGSATTAYAGAACCACACAGGAGTAAAAACTCYTTTGCTGCTGGCAGAGAAACCCCCAACACCTGCTGGTTGTGCCAGGGCTTTGTTTCAGCAACAACTCTCAAAAGCATCTCTTTTCTAAAAACACAGAGATTGAGTACACAGCAAACAGGAAGCAAAAAAACACACACAAAAATGACTCTGCAGCTAAAACACCTGGCAGTGTTTTCCTTCCCACCAGCTAAACCAGAACTAAGGACACAGGGATGTGGCTCTCCATGAGGCTTGAAAAGCCCATGGGAGAAAACAGGGATGAGGTTTTCTCCATTAGGAGAAGGTCATCCCAGCCAGCTTTGATTTCCAGAATCCGGGAATGGGTTGGGTTGGGAGGAACCTTGAAGTTCCAGCTCCAAACCCTCCCTCTCCCACAAGCAGGGACACCTTCCACTGGAGCAGGCTGCCCTTGGACATTTCCAGTTCCTCCAACAACCCCTGGAGCAAGTTACAGCCTCCAGGAGCGGGATGTTCCCTCCAGGATGAACGGGAAATGGGATGGGGATGTTCCCAAGCCACACCCTGCCCTCCCCCAGGCTCACCTTTCGGGGCTCAGGTAATCCTCTTCTCCAGCAGCTGCACACAAACACACACAGAGGATTAATGTTGGAAGGGCAGGCATGGCACAGGACTGCCAGCAGGAATTGGGGACGTGGCTGGGTTAATATGGCATTATTCACATTATTATTTAATATTTCCAGGCAACAACCCCAGACTCAATATAACTGAGCAATATTGAGAGAGCATGGAGATGATGGCACATTAATGTAACTGGTTCCCCTCATCAGATTAATGCATTTAGAGAAGGCAAGTAGGCTGGAAAAGGGTTTCAGTGAAAAAATTCTCTTTCCCTCTCATTCTTATCAAAGCCAGGGCACAGCAACAAGCGCTGGCACTGTAGAGGGATTTTAGCAGAGCCCTTCATACTAAAGCAGCTCACTTTGAATTCATCAACAGTTGTGCCTAAAGATCTGGCTATAATTAAGCCTGTATCTATAAAGAAACACCACTTAGCAGCTTAATAAGTGGTGCAGAATATTCTATTACACAACATCAATGGGGTTTTATTATGGGAAACTGAACTTTTGCATTTCTTGATGTCGGAACACTCAACAACATTGCCCTGTGTTGTATTTAACACAGAAGTAGGGGGGATTAGCAGGCTATTTTCTAACAATTTTATTGTGCCTTCCCATAGCTGTGCACTCTGGAGTCAAGGCATTTCCCATTGAAGAGGAGTGATAAAGATCAGCTCAGCTCACAGGCAGCTGCTGCTGCTTTACAGCCAGCTGTAAACTGCTCTCAACACGTGGGATGGCATCCAGCCTGGAAAACCAGATCCCTTTTCCAGATTAAGGGCAAAAATCAGCCCCACTGGAGCTGCTGGGCTGTTATTAATGTTGGAGGAAGAAGTTATAACGAGTAACAACGTCTTGTTTCTGCACGCTGGAAATCGCGGCCTTACAGACGTCAATAAAATGCACGTTTCGATTGATTCTCTACAGAACAGATCTGGGGGAAAAAAGCCAGGCAATCTCTTACTTGTTTCATTTCCTCTGTGGGTCAAAGGCAGGAGGCTCTGGAAAGCTCTGAGATCAAACTTTGGGGGTCTTGGAGGCTTCCCAGGGGCAGGACCCAGGGATTCGGCTGGAGGGAGAGGTTTAATCCTTGGCCATTTCCTCCCGGGGCTGTAGGACCATGTTCCTGCTCCAGGCTGGCAGAAGGGGAGCTCTGATTCTGCTCCAAAGAAGCACAAGGACAGGCAGAAATTAGTCCTGATTTATGCAAAACCCTATGCAGGATTATTAGTTGTTATCCTGATATTTCTCACTGGCTCTGTTTCCCCCCGATTTCAGCATCCCCATCACACAGCAGCTCTGTAATTGTGTTACCAGAAATGCAGAACAAAAGGAAATGGTCATTTTTTACAGATTTTTACCACATGAACCATGCTGGGGTCTCAGCTCTTGACAGCTCCCTTCTCCTGGGTTATAACCAGCCCAATTTTCTGTGCCTGTAACAGTTCAATCCCACAGGATTTAGGGAATGGCTGTTTTCAGGGCTTAGCCCAGGAGAGGTGGCTTTGCAGAGTAAACAAAGACTGAAGTTTTTCAGTGCCCCGTCACCCAGTGTGACATCAGCAAAGGGCACTTCACAACCTTGGAGTTTCCCAGCACCAGTTCCTCCAACAAATACATTCTCCAAGATTAAATATGACATTTTGCAAAGCTGGGAGGGTGCAGAGGGGGAGATTGAAGCTATTTTAATTGGAAGCTATTTTAATTAATGTCTTTGCAGACCAACCAAGCCTTTCACATCTGTGCGAAGCCACGTTCACCTTGGGATTGCAAACAGCCAAAGCAGACCAAAACTAAGATAGTCCTGAACTATCTCAAAATGTAGACAATTCCTTTAAGTGAACTTTAAAAAATTTGTTGAATATGGGGAACTCTCCCCTTACTCAGGCTGAGCAGCAGTTTGGGATCCATTCCTTATCTCCAGGACCTCCAGAAGAAGAACAGAGCATCCCAGTGGGACAATGTGGCCTCTTGTTTGAGGGTCCCAACCCTTAGGAGCTTTCCTCTCCAGCTGCTGTGTCCTGCCTTTGCAGAGCACCTGTATTCCTATATATTTAGGGTTAAAAACACACCTTACCGTACCTTTCTGGTGCCGGGGTGGCTCTCTTGGTGCACCATAGCCCAACTGGCAGCACGCAGATGCCACCACACCCTCAGCACCGGCTCCATCAGAGCTCCTGTGTCCCCTGGGAGCCTGGGGAAGGATATCTTCCCTCTGGGCACGCCAGTCCAGCCCAGGGGAGCTGCCTGAGGGTCGCCTCCACTCTCTGCCCGAGGCAGAGGGAGCTGAGTTTGCCGCCCGTTGGGTTGGAAGCTTTGGAGTTGCTTTCTCATTGCGGGATAAAGTCTCCTCCCAGATCTGCAGGGCGTGCTGGAAAGACTCTGGGAGCTGAGGGTCCTCTGGAGATGCTTGGCTTGGTTCTTGCTGGTCAGTGCCATGGGATGAGAGAGGTTTTTCTGAGCTGTTCTCGGGAGAGCTCAGCCCTTTCTCCGCGGTGCCGATGCCCTGGAACGCTTTGGTGTGCTCCCCATAACCCAGCCTGGCCAGGGGGCTGTGCAGGGTGGGCACAGGGGGCTGAGAGGTGGGATGGGCAGGTGTGAAGGTTTTCACCTCTCTCCTGGTCGGGGGCAGAGGGCTGGATGTGGTGATCCCAACAAAGCCGGGTTTGGGAGCGATCCCCGCTGGAGGAGTCTGGCCCGGCTGCCCCATCCTGCTGACCAAAGCGGGGTCATTCTGGAATTTGGCTCGGAGGGCTTGGAAATCAGTCACACCTTCCTGGGTGGGGGGAGAGAAAGCACAGAATAGCTGCTTAGCAAGGGGCAATTCAGGCAATTGTGATGGTTTCAGACAGAAAGAGGCTGCGGGACACCAGACTGGTGTGCCAATCCTGGTGAGAATTTAAAAGCAGCAGAGGAGAGTTTGCTCTTTCAAAGTATCCTCCAAAGGCTCACAAATCACTTCTGGCAAAGCAAAAGAGTTGAAAACGGGAGGAAAATGCAGGAGTAAAGCACGGAAAGACAGCCAAGCAGAGCCAGTGGAGCAGGGGGATGCCCCCTTCTCCCCAGTGATGGAGAATTCCCCTCAGGGGGATCTGGCAAACACAAAATTGAATGTTAGAGCTCCCTGGAAACTGAATGTTAGAGCTTCCTGGCAGAGGTGCTGCAGTGCTGTTGATGCACCTGCTGGGTATGAAAGCTGCACTTTATTTTCAGTACACAAGCACCAAGGAGGGGAGAGGCCAGGGCTGCTCTGCAGGTGCCTCATCCATGCCCATCCTCCTTTAGAAATCTGCACCACGGGCACAGAAGCAGTAAATATCCTCCTTGTTGCACTCCAAACGAGTCCTGGGACAAAATGCCCTTCTTCCATGATGCTGGTTCAGCTCACGGTCCCCAAGACTCTTTGGATCCTTCTCCCCTCACCTTTAATGCCACCCCAGGGAGCAGAGGACACACCACCCAAACGTTGGGACAACCAGAGCATCTCCCAGAGTGGGTGAGGCACACGGGCTATGACTCTCAATTCCTCTCCCACACAGTTACCAGCACCCAAGTCACACAGGATTTTGAAGAAAAGGATCTAATCAGCAACAGTGTAGTTTAAAAGAGCACTTAAAGAACATTTTGTTTCACCCCCTCATTCCCCTACATCCCCCCATCCCATGCTGGAGAAAAGGCACCACAATTTTTGCCCGCAGTGCTGTGGCTTAAATTCGGCCCTGAACTGAACTAGGGAGAAAATATGAAGAAAAATTTATGAGCTACTTAAGTCCTTGAACTGCTCTATAACTTTTTATATGCCATGATTACATTAGGTGCTCTGCTCTGGCAGCTCAGTTCAGCGCGAGGCTTCACCAGGACCTGTCTAATGAGGAAATTGGAAAAAATTATCTAGGACAGAACTTCGTTATTCTGAAAAAAGCCCCAGCCTTAAGTGTTAAGACAGAACAGATGAATAGCACACTGAGGTTTTATTGCATTTAATTGCACGATTTATTAAACACTGACAATTTCTCTTGAATAACCCCTTTCACTGACTTTATTACTTTCACAGGGTAGTACATGATGTAAAGAAGCAGCCCTTGGGGGGAGAGGTTTGAATTGCTCCAATTATATTTCATATTAGTGGTCAGCAGCATGGATGCTGTGCGAGCTGCCCAGACAGGCTAATCTAGCGGCGAGCCATGGGAACGGGAGCTTCCAGAGGCACACGGAGGATGAATCAGATTTTTTTTTTAGGGAAAAAAAACCCATAAAAATCCCACGTGCACCCGATCCCTCCAGTGGTGCCAGACAGGAAATAAAGCAGTGAGGTGCCCTAATGCAATTGCAGGGAGCTTTTTGCACGTGCTGCAGTTGAAGAGTTCAGTGCTGTTTACCTTCCTTTGCTGATTTTGTGTGCTGCAGCAAACAGTTCCTCATCAGCCCCCTCAGAGACAAAGAAAAGGGGAAGGGAAAAGCACCTGCTTGTCTGAGTGTGCCCCAGGTGAGGCAGACACGGGGGTTTTTTGGTCAGGCCTCTCCCTGCACTGGCTGTGACAGAAGTGGGCTGTGACAAAAACAGGCTGTGACAGTCACAAGTTTGGCACGACCTTTCATTAGAGAGGGATGGATGCCAGCTTCCCTTTTCCCACCTAAATTGTTATTCCTCTTGCCTTGAAAAGCAGCTTCAAGTAATTTACCTAATTAAGTGAGAGATTATTTGTGCTTAATGCACCCTCAGTGCCCCTCACTAGGATATGGTTCTCCCAGAGTGCAGCCTGATGGGATATTCACAGGGAAAGGGGAAAAATACGGCCCCCAGCCAACTATAGGGAAGTGTAGGGGTGGATGGGGTTAAATTGCACCCCATGGCCACCTCCTGCACACCCACAGCCAGCTGGGCTATCCATCCATCCATCCATCCCTCCTACAAATGCTGTTTCCTTGCACAGGGCTGATCTTAGCCAGACCTTCCAAGGTGCAGTGAGTTCTCCCATCTCTGCTGGGATGGTTTTCCATCAGAGCTGGGATTGTTTCAAATCCCAAACCCATCCAAGCAATTCTCCTGTTTGACCCACACACCTCCAGGTGGCCCAGGGAGATGCTGAGCCTGAGCAGGACACTGGTCCCCAAAAAACCAGACCGGCTGACAAGCAGAAAGAATACACCAATAAATTCAAAGGGCTGCCAAAAGCTCACAATGTATATTGCAGCTACATCTGGCCAAATAATTGCCTGTGGATAATACAGCATTTGGCAAAAGCCCATGCAAGATGAGAGGGGAAGAGAGAGAAAAGGAAACAAAGTTCCACTGTCCGGAAAGCTGCGAGCACAAAGGAGTCAGGGGACAGGAGCATTACAGTCAGAGGGCAGTGAAACTTTCTGTATTTTGTCCCCGTAAATAAAATGCTCTTCTAACATCGAGATCAGTACAGGAAGCAGAATAAAGTTCAGCTTAAGGCTGTGATAAGGGTGCCTTTTAGAAGGAGATTTGTGCTTATGCTTTGGATTCCTAATCAAAAGGAATCTGAAACACAGAATCCCAGAATGGTTTGGGTTGCAAAGCACCTTAGAGATCAACTCATTCCAACCCCCTTCCACTATCCCAGGGTGCTCCAAGCCTCGTCCAACCTGGCCTTGGTCGCTTCCAGAGATCCAGGGGCAGCCACAGCTTCTCTGGGCACCCTGTGCCAGGGCCTCCCCACCCTCACAGGGAAGAATTCCTTCCTGATATCTGATCTAACCCCGCTCTCTTTCAGTTTGAAGCCATTCCCCCTTATCCTCTCACTCCAGGGCCTTGTTAAAAGTCCTTCTCCAGCTCCCTTGCAGCCTCCTCAGGTACTGAAACACTGCAATAACGACACTCTAGAACCTTGTTTTCTCCATGAACTAATTAAACAGAACTAATTCTCATCAGTTTAGTGAAGCTGCTTTTCTAAAACAAATGAACACAGCAAGAGCAACCCCATCCAAGTCGCAGCACACCGGTCAGCAGAGAGGAAGCACTGCCTGTTCCCCTCCTGGAATTTTTCTGGTTTGCTCCATCGTTTATCTCGATTCCCAGGGGAGCTCTGGTGGGTAAATGTTTAATCTGCCTGCCCTCTGCCCCGGCGTGGGACTGCTGGAGCCGAGCCCAGGCACCCCGGGCAGGCTGAGGAGTGTGAGCGCAGGTATCAACTCATTAATCCGCCGGCTTCTGCCAGAACCAAAATAGATAAATAAATAAACCCCAATTCTACTCTTATTACACTAAGAGGAACAACTGCAGATCGTGTCAGAGTGAGAGGGGAAGGAAGCAGGCACTGGGATTCCCTGTTTTGGGGCAGAAAAGCAGAATCTGTGTGGTCTCCGCAGAGAGCGCGCCCGTCGCTCCCAGGATAAACCGCGCTCCGTGGGGAGAACAGCCCAAGCTATGGATCGGAAAACCAAGCAGAAACCTTCCCCCCAGGCCAGGCGCAGAGCCCCAGCAGTTACCAGGTCCATCCCCCGCTGCTCCGTGCCTGCTGCAGCCGCTCAGCCCAGCACATTCCGTGCCCCGCGTCCCGCAGCCGCTCCCGCTGCAGCGCCCGTCCCGCAGCCACGGCAGCGAGGCGGAGCAAACCCCAAACACACCTGAGCTGAGGCTGGGTCTGCCCCCGGGGCGGGGAGAGCCTCACCTGGGCAGGGCTGAGCCTGCCCTGCCGCCCTCCACCGACCCACGGCTCCCCGAAACACACATGTCAGCGCCGGGGCAATCTTGGGGCAGAAAAGGTAGATATCGGGTCTGGTTTGCTTTTAGAGGGAAAGAATGGCAGTTGGCTTTGGCATGGGTGTCCCCACAGCACCATGTGGGTCCATATAATGTTCATATGTGTCCATATGATGTCCATTCTGATGTCCATATCATGTCCATTATGATGTCTAAATCATGTCCATATGATGTCCATTCTGATGTCCATATGATGTCCATTCTGATGTCCATGTAATGTCCATTATGATGTCTAAATCATGTCCATTCTGATGTCCATATGCGTCCATATGATGTCCATATGATGTCCATTCTGATGTCCACTATGATATTCATTATGATGTCCATATGATGTTCATTATGGCATCCATTATGATGTCCATATGAGGCCCATATAATGTCCATATGATGTCCATTATGATGTCCATATATGTCCATATGATGTCCATATCATGTTATGATGTCCATTATGATATTCATTATGGTGTCAGTTATCGTGTCCATATGATGCCCATATGATGTCCATTATGATGTCTATATGTGTCCATACAATGTCCATTGTGATGTCTAAATCATGTCCATTCTGATGTCCATTCTGATGTCCATATGATGTCCATTATGATGTCCATATAATGTCCATTATGATGTCTAAATCATGTCCATTCTGATGTCCATTCTGATGTCCATATGCGTCCATATGATGTCCATATGATGTCCCTTCTGATGTCCACTATGATATTCATTATGATATCCATATGATGCCCATATAATGTCCATATGATGTCCATTATGATGTCCATTATGATATTCATTATGGTGTCAGTTATYGTGTCCATATAATGTCCACATGATGTCCATTATGATGTCCATATCATGTCCATTATGATGTCCATATCTTGTCCATTATCATGTCCATTATGACATCCACGATGATGTCCATCTGTGTCCATATGTGTCCATATGATGTTCATATCCGTGGCAGTTTACAGAATCTCAGAGTGGTTTGGGTAAGAAAGGCCCTTAAAGCCCATCCAATTTCACCCCCCTCTCCCCTCCAAATCATCTTCTCAGGTCTCTCTTCACACCTGAGGAGAGATGAGGAGCCCCACCCCATCAGCTCCATCACTAATTCGAATTCTTTCCCCAGTTTTCAGGTCTCCCCATGGGAGACATGGGCATGAGCTGCTCCTCAGGGTCCTGGGGACAGGCTGGGTAAATCAGGGCAAACGAGACTTCTCCTATCACTGGGCATTTCTGCCCTGGAGAACAGACTGAAAGGACCTGTCCAAACACTGAGCCCTTGTTTTCACAGAGCATGGCTCCCAGGCTGGTCACCTTGGCAAGAAGAGAGATGAGAGCCCCAGGAGTTCCTTTTTCCCTCCATAACTGATCAAATAAGATTTCATCTCTCTCTCCAGGAGTGCTTGACGTTTTCCTTGGAGCAGAGCAGCTGCTGCATGGGGCCTGGGTGCTGGTGGCATCCAGAGGTGGCTGTCAGTGGGATTTGGGAGGGCAGGAAACTGAGCAACACTCGTGAGCTGACCCTAATCCCACACACCCAGCCCAGCACTCTCCTACAGATCATTCCCAATAAGATGCCTGGGAAAGAAACCATGAAGAAACCTCAAAAATCATCCCATGGGCATGGACACCTTCCACTACCCCAGGTTTCTGAAAGCCCCATCCAGCCTGGCCTTGGACACTTCCAGGGATGGGACAGCCACAGCTTCTCTGGACACCCTATTCCAGTGCCTCACTACCCTCACATGGAGGATTTTTTTCCCAACACCGACCCTAATAAACCTCTTTCAGTTTGAAGGCCCTCCCCTCTGCACACTGGACAAACCCTTTCCCCAAGCATCCCCAATGCCTTCAGGAGTGGGACTGTTGCTCTTCCAGCCTAAACTGACCCTGCTTCCCAGAGCCAAGCATGAGGGGAGCTGAAAAAAAGAAAAGAACAGGAAGAGAAATCAGGGAAAAGTAAAGGGCTTATTTGTCAGAGACATGAGTCGAAGCATGAGTCTGGTTCCTCACCACATGAAAAGCTCTGCTGCTGCTGCCTGGAGGTCTTGGGGAAGAAAGGGGGGTCCTGCCGAGCTGGGATTTGGCAGGGAAGCCTCCCAGGCCAGGGCTGGATCGCAGCAGGATGGAAATCAATGCCAGCTTTGTGCACAGGTAGCTGGGGAGGATTTATGACCCTCCCAGGGGTATGAACACAGGCCGTGAATTAAAGCACTGTTGGAAAACCGGGAGGTTCTGACTTCAGAGCCACAGTCCTGCGGAAAAGGACGGGGCAGATTCTTCCACGAGCGCTCTAAAAATTAAAATGAACTGCCAGAAGTTCCTTTAAAACATGCATTTTGTGAGTGCTCACCCCGTGGGACCCCGCTGGCCTCACCAGGGCTGCCATAAATCGCGCTGGGCTGTAACAACCGCATGGGGAGCACGGGGCAGCCCGGGGCTGCCAACATCAAACACCACACAAGTGGAAGACAGATTTTTTTTTTTTTTTCTGGATGTCCCAGCAAAGCACAGTGAGCACCTTGTCCACTGATGCTGCTCCACAGGCAGCACTTTGGGGTGGGAGCTCGGGGTTGGCTCTGGGGTTGGGTCTCAGAGGCACCGACCCTTAGAAATAAACCCAAACACCACTGCTGAGAGCAGCAGCTCCAAACACTCCCTGCACAGGCACAACCTCCCCAGGACAAACCATTCCAGCCTGTTTGAAAGTTTTAAATTTCATTACCTGGATGTTTTCTTCCTGCAGTGAAGCATTCAGTACATTATGTAGCTGCATCAGCCCAAGGGCTGCAAGCACTGCATCCAGCAGACTTATTTTCCCAGAATTATTCTTTCCAGCTCCTTAGTGACTGGTGGGGTTTGTCATATAAGTGTGTTAGAGAGATTTGGGACTTCTTTTTTTCAACTTTTTTATGCCTTTTGGATTTCACAGAGGGGCTACTGGAGACCAAGAACAACAGCAGAACTTGGGAATATGATTTATTCCCAGGGAATATGATTTATTCTCAGTATTTCAGAGTTTTAGAAAGGTGGAGCAGACTGACTGGTGAAAACGAGACAAATTTTGGGGCAATCTAGTCTTTTCTGGAAGATAACAGGATTTAGGCATTGCCCATGACATAACTGGTGGTAACTTTAGCCCAATGACAAGGTATTATAGATAGGGAATCGCCTGACAAGTCATTTTCCTATGTCACAGCTACCAGTGCCACACATGGGGCAACACTGGGAAAAGGAGTAGGGTCCACATCTCCAAAAAAAAACCACCTCAGAATCCCCCAGAATGGGGGAAAATAGAAAGCAGGGCACAGCCTTTTGCTGTGGAAGGATTTGGCTCGGTTTTAAAGCCTTATTCTGTTCCCAGGAGGGCCAGGACACACCCCCTAACCTGGCTCCCTGCACATCTCACAGAATTCTGGAATGGTTTGGGTTGGAAGGGACGCTAAAAATCACCCCAATSCAMCCCCCCTGCCATGAGCAGGCACGGGGATGGCTGGAATCTCTCCCTTTTCCTGCCAGGAGGTCATTTCATGGTTTTCCAGCAGAGGGGGAAATAGGATCGCTTGTTCCACCGTCGAGCCGCCCGCTCTGCCTCGCGTTCCCGGCGGGACCGAGGGATTTAGGAAAATGCGGCATTATCGATCCCGGCATTCAAAAACCAACATTCCCTTTGACCGGCCAGGCCAAGCATTGTTTTGGAAGCACCCACACGGCTCCATCAGAAGTTTTAAGATCAGCCCCATCAAAGAACTCTAGGACTCGAGAAAATGAATTCAAAATTTAAAATACATTCCAGGTATTTTGTATGTCCAAGCTATGGGGTTGTCTCTGCAGTATGGCTCCGACCCCACAGCTGAGTGCCCACCTTGTCCTTCTTCATGCTTCTACTCAGGTCTTCTGCATGCTCTACAACATAAAGCCATCTCCGCATCTAAATCCTTCTCCTGATGACATCTACACCGGGATTTTGATTGTTGAAGTTCAGAGATGAAGACCTTGCTAACCAGCTTGGCTTCCTTGGCAAAGCAGAAGTTTTTTTTTTTACCAAGCTGCTGTGCAGAGAAAGAGAGGATGGGCTGAGAAAATCCCATGTGTGCCGCAAAAGCACGTGTGAARCAGCGAAATTCCCAAGGGCAGAGCTCCAACTGCGAGGCGCAGCTTCTTGATCTCGCCGTAGCTGACATCTCCATAACCTCAGCACACTGCAACAACCTCGATGTTGTTTGAAAAGAAATCTCCATCACCCCTGAACAAAAGGCTGTCTGCTGTGCCCTTTTCCCTGGTGAGCCCTGAGACAGCACACAGCACGTTGCAGGTGTCAGTCACATCACAACTTGGTGGGTAGCATGGATTGGATAAAATAAAAAAAGAACAAGATTTTCCTTCCTTTCCTTTAGATGTTCGTGGTCTTCAAGCCAGGAACAAAATTCAGATTTGCACTACTGCATGAATTATGTACTACCAAAAAATATAAATAGAATATTGGCATAAAAAAGGACGAATTTTTTCCCATTACTGTATCCCCTGCAGCAAAAGCTATTCGAATGTACTAAAAATAAAAATCTAAATATGAAGAAGGAGCAAATGCAAATTGCTGGATGACAATAACATTATGTTATATATGTTACAACTTCACCCTGGAGCTAGGCTGGTGCAGCCAGCCACATTACCCAGGAGCTGCTCAGGTGCTACTTAAAAGATCAATGCACTCTTCAGGCAGAAATTAATTCCCTTTGTTGGGCCAAACACATCTGAAGGGGAGACTTTTTTGAAGAGGAACAAAATCCTGTGTTGCTGTCACAGAGTTTGTTTACCCTGAGTTAATCTGCCCCAGATTTTAGGTATGTAAAGATTGTAAATGAGTTGGGTGCCTTTCAATTAAAGAGTTCTTCAGTATCAGGGAAAGATCTCCGTGGTGGGAACAGCCACAAAGGAATGGTGTGAGCTCCCTGCCCACCCCAGCCTGCTCACTGCCCTTTTTCCACACTCCTGATGGCTTTGTGGCTCATCCTCCTCACCCTGACTGCATCACCATGGACAGCGTGGCCACCTCAGAGGTTCTGAGACTTAATTCAGGTTTGGAGTCAAGGATCCAACACAAACATTCAGCTCATAACACTCTAAATGGAACCACAGCTTATATATATGTCTGTGTCTCACTTTTGGAACACAACACCTCTGAGGATGGTTCTTTATTTTACCTCTTTATTTATGTGGAGCACCTTGCTGGCTGCTCAAATCCCTCCTGCACACCTCTCCCCCAGACAATCTCCCCTACCAGTGAGAAATTGGTGCTGTGCCTGACTGCACCAACCAGCCCAGCCTTTCACCYGGGAGATGTGGCACAAATAACTCCYGTTATATATAGGGGGTGYCTCTGACACTGCTRTCAGGASAGAGAAGATGTAATGCTCCAACAGCCTTGCTCACGTGCTGAGAAAACACTTGGCTGTGCAAAACAGAGATTTGTATCACAGGTCTGGATGGAAGGCAGGGTTGGCAAGTGGCCAGGGAGGGTCCCACCGTGGGGACAGTGGGATCCATCCCCACCAGACCATGGCTAGAACCTTTTAATGTGGTTCTGTCTTAACAGCGACCTGCAGAGAGGCTGTGATGTCCRACAAGGGGGGATTGCCTCAGGCCAGCCTCATTTCCCTACTTTTTCCCCCAGGAAAAAGCAATTTAGGTTTAATAGTATATTAAAAAATATTAAACCCCTTATTGGAGTCCTTCTTGCACAGGCAAAGAGAGGAGAAGGACTTTGTGAGCCCATCTGCAGTGCTTTAGTAGGTAAAGGATTACATTAAGGTACTCCCCAAGGTCACAGACAGGCATTTCTCATTTCATTTCAACACAGACTTCACCCCCGTGCTACATTTCTTAGTGTTTAGCAGACAAGCCACAGGGTCATTCTGAACTTTAATTACATGAAAATAACCTGCTAAGAGGTCCTTTTATTTTGATAATTTACAGGACCAGCTATTGAAAACGAGCTTTGTAATTGATTTGGGAAATACACAGGATGACACTTCCAGCCCAGCTTTGTGGACACAGGACAATTCACTGTCTGCTTAACAGCCATAATAGTCCAGGACCAGACTTCCCTACAATAATTACACTTTCTCTAGGATTTATTGAGGTTCAAACTTCCAGTTGTCTGCTGGGAACACTTCATTTATGCATGAAGCGTCTTGGTCCATTTATGCAGAAGAAAAAGGCAGGGAGGCACAGGAGCTTGTTTGAACACRCAAGTCTCCATAGATCATTTACTCTTTATTAAACTGATATCTAATGAAGTTACAGATTCCTTGTGCATTTTTGTCCCTGCCCAGGGCCCTTAGGAGCATTTTGGAGGCTGTAAAAAGTTGAGGAAACAGCTATGAGGCAACTTGGGYTATGACTAAGTGTCTTTCCAACACCCATTTTTATTTTCTTCTAACACAACYGAACTAAATATTGTCATCTTGTGACTATTATCCTAAAAATAAATAACCTTTGGYGTTCCTGCTTTCTGTGGATTTCTTACACTTGTGCCTACCCACTCCTTCAGTTCTGAGATTCCACCCACCTAAAAGAATTAGAGCCACCATGAACAGACAGATTTTCACAGGATCACAACAATTTCAGATGTAGGGGACATCTTCCTCCKCCCCAAATCACTTTGGAAAACAAAGAATTCAATGTGGGGCCCTCCAAGAGCCAGGTGATAACTCAAATCAGGTTTAGARGTGGGAATCTGCCTTGTGGGGCTGGCAAGGGGAGGAAGCTGATCTGACATTTCCTTCATGTATCCTCAAGGTACATGTTCCTCATAACACAATTCTGTGCTAATCTTCAATTTGCTGCACTGGGAAGCTTTTCCCTGGTCAGCAGCCAGACACATCAAAATTACAGTGAAGTCACTGTGGGAAATAACACRAGTTTCCCCCTCCTTCAAATTAAAAGGAGGGCGCAGGCTGGACAAGAAACACCGCTGCAATAGGACTTGATTGACTTTAGTGTAGAAACAGTTGCACAGTTTAATATATTTCCTTGCCAGAAAACAGGGAATTTGTTTCCAAAAGGGCAAAGGCCCCTGGGATGTGTCCTGATTCTTTGTGATTCGATCTGCGCTGCTGTCAATGATTTACCGCGGCATTTCRGAGCCCGGTGGGCTCCGCGCTCCTTCCAGCAGCCCCGAAAACTTAAAAGCTTTGGTTTGCAGCTGATCTACGGCACAAATTTGCATATGGGGAAGCAATGTGGTGGAGCCTGGGCCAGCTTTATCCCTTGATCCTGTCCATATTCTCACTGGCTTCACTGCCAGGCCAGGCCACRGCAGTGAGCAGCGAGCTCCAGGCGCTGCCTTCCCACAGGTGAGTGTGTTTTTCCTTCCCCAGGAAACATTCCTTTCCATACAGGAATTACCAGCACGTCAGGCAGCCCCATCAGCTCTGTCCCGACTTGAGGAATGTGCACAAAGCCACCAGGAAAAAAAAAAAAAAAATTGGCAGTAGTCCAAAGCCCAAGCCAAGCATCGTAATTCCTTCTTAAAGGAAGTGTTTGCACAAGGGTTTTTCTTTTGCAGATGACTATTAAGTCTCCTTAAACTTCCTGGCTGATATTGCCACACTGGGCTTGGGCACCTGAAATGAATTCTCTATGCAGGATGATTTATGAGTTAATATTTTTCATATTCTTTTGCATTATAATTATTTTACATTCAACAACACGAAGCTAACAAGTGCATGTGAATAATCCAGTTTTCAATCCAAGCCAGAACCTCATACCTCAGTTGTTTTTTGTTTTTTTTTTATTTCCATGAACAATATTATTAACCTATCTGAGTGTCACTTGGGCTTTGAAGGAAAGGAATAAACAAGTTACTTTTTTTCTAATGCTACAGTGTCATGATAGGGGAATGGGTGGATTTCTTTTTTTCTACAGCTATTAATTTCAGGCTTGTTGTAAAGGCAAATATGATTTAGAAGGATCAAAAAAAGGTATCAGTGATAATTGGAACACGGAGACAGGGAGAAGGGGGAAAGGAAAAAAAACTGTGGTAGTGATACACTTAATTATGAAGGCTTATTCYGATAATCCCTTTTGAAAATGAACAAAGACGAGATTTTTGATGTTTGATGAACTTMTCAAACAAGGCAGAATAATGAAGAGGTAAACGCAAAATCCAATCGAAGGTGAGCCAATTAAGTACTTTGTGAAGTGCTGAAGGATGCAGTCCACAAATCCTCCTGTCAGAGCAAAAAAAAGGCATCAATACCTGYGTGTCCACAAGCTCTGGGTTTGTCCGAGGGCTCCTGGGTTTCCATCTCACACACAGACCTGCAGTCACAGCCATCCTTACTGAGCTGCTGTGCCTTTCATTTAGCAAATCTCTCTTCCCCAGCCTCTGATGAATCCCCAATGTGCTCCCTACCTCTGCTAATTATCAATATTTCTCTTTGGACTGCAGTCTTGCATGTAAAACAGGCTGCTCATTAGTTAATCACCAAAATAATAATAAAAATAATTCTGTTCTGRCTCAGAGTAAACCCTCAAAATGTTTTGAAGGCTGTGGCAAATGCAGAGTTGTATTTGCACGCCTCAAATTGCTCCTCAAGACAAAGAAATGGCTCACAGAAATGATGGTTTTAGRAGTAGGGACAGAAACAGAGATTGCAATGATTGGGCTGGGATCTGAAAATCCAGAGAAGGATTTTCTGGTTGCTGTAGTGATATTCAGGGTATGTGCAGAGTCTGATCCAAGAGCCACTACAATACAGTGCCTTTGCCATTTTCTGCTTTTATAACATCCCTTCATCTTTTGTTCTTCTCAGAATTTATGTATTTTGCTTTAAAAACAGTCAACCAAAAAATTTTTGGCCAACATCCTTTGTACCTTGTTCTCTTGGCGCTGTTGGTGCAGCCATTTCCACCACACCACAAAGCCCATGGAAACCAGGAACTGATTTCAGACTTGCTGGGAAAAATCCTGACCATGAGTTCACACTGGTGTAAAAAAAGTGAYGTCAAAACAGGCTCAGGAGTGATAAACATCCCTGCTCCTGGAGATTGTGATGTGCTTCTGAAAAGAAAGGCAAAAAATCAGCTTTTCCTTAAAACCTGTCTCTTCATGACATTCCTTCTGTTTACTCAGGGTGTTTGTTCTGATATAAATATTTTGTGTATATATATATATTTAATTGCAATCTACCCATTGGAAAGGGTGAGGATCTCTTGGGAGAGCAGAAAACCCAAGACAAAATCCCCACCTGCAGCCTCTGAKCAATTCTGATGGTGAACACTTGGAGGGGACACCTTGGGATGCTTCCCATGTCCTACAAAACAGTTTCCTGCTGGAAAAGCAGACACAGAGATAATTTTCCTCCTTCTAGCCTCCATAACCTCTTAAAAAACTCTTCAAAGACCTCAGACCACTCTCTCTTCCCCCCAGGAGAAGCAGCAGAGATGTTAATTCTCTAGTTCCTGCTGACTGTCAGCTGGGCCAGTGGTCAGCATGGACGGATTGCTTTCCTTGCCAAGAGAAAAAAGTAAGGATCYGCTGTAATGTATTCATTTATCTTCAGATGTGTCTGTGATGAGGATGTACACACATTAATTATATATATTATACATATTCATCATTCTGAAGCATCCAGTAAACTCATCCAGATATGATGGAAATGCTCCTCGGCTGGAGAGGCTCTTACTTACTCTTGGTGTAAACTGGGGAATAAATTCATCTGAGGCAGCAGAACAGCAAAAGAAAAATCAAGGCAAATGGTGGAAGAGTCAGGCCAGAATATTTGCCAAAGACCTTCTTCCTTTTCTATCTTAGATTTAATTAATTATCCCCTGATTCTTAATGCAAATAGTCCAGCGAGAAGAAATTAGAATAAGCCTTCATGCATCAGCTCCCGTTCTCATTTTTTTACATCATTTCACATATGTCTTCATAATTTGAGAATTTAYTTTCAAATACCTGACATAATTCTGCTTTCCACTGAGTTTATTTTATCCCTGCATTTTTTGCTTTTGCATTTCCTGTGCTTATAGACAGTATATTGTCTGTAAAAAATGCAGCTCTTCTGCCTTTCCATTTTTTTTTTTCTGTTCCTAGTTTAAAGAGCAGCAGTTCTCATTAATAATCCATCAGAAATGTTGCAGGATCAGTGCTGTAATTAGTGTCTGTGTCCATCTGAGCCTGGTGCATTGCAGGACAAAGCATATGCAACTGGAAAAATGCCATATTATTTCCAAGGTATAAAATAGAAATATTTTAAAAACAGCCAATCCAGTCCTCTCTAAAGTTCACGTGCATAAACTCCAGGCAAATCTGAGCTCCAAACTCTCTGCTGACTGTCCTCTTTTTACCATGTATAAAGTCTTTGAGCAATACACACACTCAGAAATAAAATGGAGAATAAAATGATAGAGGAATAGAGATGAAAATGATASTTTTGGTTCTCTATGGCCTGTGGAGGTGATGTCTCTGGGGGATACAGTGGCTGTGTCTCTGTGCAGCACCGCTACCGGCGCCTGGTGCAGCCAGCAAAGTTTGAAGGGCGACGCTGCGCGGGGTTCCTGTGGGATGAACAAGCCTGTCAACCTAAGACAGCGTGCACAGGGCCACCAGCGTGTGGGGARGACTTCCAGTGCAAGGAAACAGGTGAGTGAAGCAGGCACAAACCCCTGCCAGAGAGGGTTTGGTCCTGGGGGTATCAGTCCCCTACCCCAAGCGGCAGGATGGTGAATCAGTGTAAGAGAAATCAGGAAATTTCCCCTCTTCRTTCTAATCCCCCCACACTTTTACAGAAATCCACCCATGTTACACTCGGTTTTGGGTAGAAAAGGAGGCTGTTTGACAGAAAAATGTGAATTTTTCTGTGGAACAAAGAGAATAGAAATTATTCTGCTCCAACTGCTGTGCCAGGCGCTCGCACTCCCCTCCACAGGCACAGAGCTCCGCTTTCTCCCCTGCTAAAGACAGAGTTCAATCATCAATCCAAMCAGCAATCTGTTGGGGTGATTTAGTTATTTTTAGCCATCTCCCAGCTCTGAGGATTAGGATATAAAACGGCTGTTCTCTGGAAGTTTGACTAGCCTTGACAGATTTTGGTTTTGACACAAATGGCTCAAGCTTTCAATGAAAATTCTGTTGAAATTTAGAGACACAGGGCAGCTCTGTGACCAGCTCATCAGCTGGAGCAGGTTATCATCATTCAATTGGGGTAAGTGAAAGCAGTGCCAGTTCCCTCCTCAAGGCTTTCTCCATGCTCCTAGAAGCAACAGCCTTTCCACGTTGCTTTTCCTGCAAATATCCATCCTTGCACTCTGATTATTGCAATAAGTTCCCCAAATGCCTCCTGCAATGGGAAGAGGAAAAATTGCACTTTAACAAGGTGGAGTTGACTTCCTTAAGCCCAGGGGAGAAGATATTCCTATAACAACTTTCCAAGAGCATGATTTTACAAAATAAAGTCAGGGCAGCRAGGTGACCTCACCTGGATTCCCACACCTCGGGAGTGGCCAGCTTGGACCCCGTGCTGTGTTTGCTCTAAGTCACAAAAACCTTCCCCCAGGAGCTTGGAAAAGCAAATTCCCAGTGGAACAGAGCTGTGTTTAACACCCAGCAGGGCTCCTCGTGGCCCTGGGATGTGGGTGAAGAACAGCACAATCAGGGCAAGCTGCCTGCCAGGKTTTGTGGAGGGCGGATAAGCCACCGCCTGCATCTGTGCACTTTAGGGCGCTGCATTAAACGGCATCTCGTGTGCAACGGAGACAGAGACTGCAGAGATGGGTCTGATGAGGATAACTGCGAGGAGGACAAAGATATTGAAAACCCTTGTGAACAGCTGTTCCAAATCCCAGGGGCGGAAAAAGCGGTCCAAGGGTGAGTAATTAATCAATAGCTGCTCCTCTCGCAATCAACACAGGATTATGTTTCTTATATTGCTCTTCCTTGGTGATAGCGGTGATCCATGAATTGATAGGGTGCTGTACAAAACCCAAAGGGGAGGTGCTGCCCTGTGTGACCATGGGTAGCAATGAGGGTTCATTCCAGCTTTAATTTCAAATCCTGTCTCGGATCTMTTCCCTGCCTTTGGCCTCTCCCAGCCACACTGTGATGCCCTCTTTATACTCCTGTAAAAACAGATCCCAGTTATCTCACAGCTTTCTGCAGTTGTTAAAAGTAATAGTCTAAAACAAACAGCTACACCCCGCTGGCATTCATCCTTAAGGAGATTTCATTCCAGGATTTAGGACTTCAGAGCACAGATTCAAGGCAGAGAGTAGTAAATGTAAATACTCCTGTCCGTGAAAAATGTTTCCCTATTCAGTTTCAAATTTTGATTAGCTAATACAGGTAAAAAGGAAATCCAGAACAACTCAAAAGGCAAATTGTGCATTGTAACATTTTTGTAAATCTTGTGTTTTAACCCAGCTACTGCTCGGTTTCACTTGGAGAGCACRGCCYCTGCCTGTGGCAGGAKGTTTGGAAAGAGGTGATCTTTAAAGTYCYTTCCTTCCAACCCAAATCATTCTAGAATTTTATGAACATGGGCTGCAGGATGAAAATGGAGCCAGTCCCAGCCCAGAGAGCAGGAAGAAGGAGGAGTAAGGAAATAACAAGTGACAGACTTGGCAAAGCATAGCCTTCATGTCTGGGGAGGGTGTTAACTATCCTGAGAAATGGGACCATTATTAAAAAGAAAGAGATGAAATAAAGATAGAAAATAATTGCAGAGAATGCCAGGAAGCACTTTGTGACAATGAGATGCATTAGGCTCAGGGAGGACCTGGAGGAATTCCAGGACTTTGGAACTTTCATAGCTGTACTTGCAGGGAGGGGCTGGGCAATGTCACTGATTTCTTCCATTTCTTGCAAGCGAGTCCAAAGTAATGTCTTGGAAATAAAATGGCTGTTTGTCACCTGGTGGCTTTGGGAATGAGACAGCAATGAAATAACAAAACCAACACAGCATTAAGTTCTATTCCAATTCCTCAGGAGATCTGAGGGTAGATAACACGTAGTGTCAGGAGAACCTGTGACAGAGGCTGAGGAAAAAAGCACAGGAGCTGTGGATAACTTCCTGAATGCTATTTCTTTCCAAGATACAACATCCTAACAGGGGAATGGATGCAGAACATATATGACCCTGCGTTTTTTGGAGGGAGCTGCGAGTACGTGTACAATGGGGAGTGGCGGAAGCTGCTGTACGACCCCGTSTGTGAGCGCCTGTCCTACGGAGACGACGAGAAGTATTTCCGCAAGCCTTACAACTTCCAGGTGTACCAGTTCCTGGTGAGCGCTGTGGGGGCCAAACTCAGCAACAATTCCCCAGCAAAATGCCAAACTTCCCACAAAGATATTACGTGCATTCTATCACTCACTGCAGGTTGTCTTTCAAGGTGTAAATGCGGGTTTATAGGACGTCAATGGTTTTATCACTAAGGGGCATCCCCACTGCTTTCTCTGGCCCAATCAGAGCCAAGAGAAATGGGTTTTCTCTAAGTTCCTCTATTAATGAGCTGTAGAGCTTGCATAAGCCTCTTGCTTGTCTAGGGGTGGAGTTGGCCATGTGTAAAACAGCAACAATGCTGCTGGTTCAATCTTTAAAAGCATTTTAAGCCTATGGCACTGGTACAAGGGGCATAAACCCAAATTCTGAGTGAGGCAGGGATCCTGAAACCCGACACCATGGATCACAACACCTACAGTCCATGAGGTCACATCTGATGTTGGACACTGACCCAAGCAGAGCAAGGATTCAGCTTGGGTCTCCCACATCACAAGTGGGTGCCTTGGCTACACTGTTGAACAGTCATTGTGGTTTTTGACACGAATGAATGAAACCAAATTATTCCTGGGAAATATCACTCAATGGAAGTAGCTTTCATGTCCTCCTAGCAGACAGAGTCCTTTAGTCCCCAGTTTGAGCACTGGGGCTGGCTTTTTATGGAGCTGGCACAGCCCAGACTGAGCAGAGCTGCTTGATTCCACATGCCAGCAAAGTAGAGCTGTCAAGGAAAAGGTCACTTCTCTAMAACACAGGCAAAACAATGTTTGTTTTCTAGCCTTGCTATTGTAAATAGATGTTGATTTTTTTTTTTCTTCTAAATAAATCCATCCAGAAGCAGGTTGCAGAGGAAAAAAAATCCAGTCCAAATTGTGTCAGGCTATCTTAATAGGTACAGCTCTGGCTWGGAGTGGCTGAACACAAACCTCTCCCCTGCTTGGAGACAGATGAGGCAAAATGCTTGGCTTTATCCACATTTCTCACATATTTCCAAATTAAATGGCACGGGACTTAATTCCTTATTCCACACTCATTGAAGTCAGTGCYGGTGCTGTCAGGAGCATCACGGGCCTCAGCAGAGGTACCATCAGCTCCTTCAAGAAAGAGAGATTAAAAATGAGGGGAAGCACCTGAAAAATTAATGTCTGCTCCTTTCATTTTAGGCTCATGCTGACTCTGGATTCTCTTTTGAGTCTTATGACGATTCAAAGGAACTGCTTGATGCCATTAAAAGAGATAGATACCAAAAATCAGGCTTCACCATTGGAATTGGGCCTCCAAAGGTACCTGTCAAGGTAAACCTGGGCCTYGCTTTATCAGAGAAAAAAGGAACCCTGAAGAATTTCACAGGATATGATTCAAAGGTAAAAAAAACCCTCAACCAAATCAGTGACGCATCTGCTCCTGTCACGTCATCTGTGCATCGCGTGGTCGGGCTGTAAMTCATGTCAGTTTGTTCCCTCAGTTGCATTTTTTGACACAGAGTAATTGTACCTTAATTTGTTCATGTAATTGCAGATGTATGATCGTTAGTAATCCTGTTTGCTGTTCTTGGTATGTCTCAGCAAACAGGGAGCGGGAATAAAATTGAATTACGGAGTGCCACACCACACATCTCACCCCATCCCACTTCATGGCTACAGCGGGCACATAAATTAAAAAAATGCTTAAAAGTGATGGTGAGGGAGGAAAAAATATCAAGATGCTGATCAGAAAAGTCAACCTCAGGGAATGATCTCTGGTAGCAAATACATCTTGCTCAAATTAATAGGAGCTGCCTTGTGATGGGGAAATAGGCTACTTTGTACAAGAGGTTAAAATACCACGCTGAAAAAAATCATACCTGGAAATAGGGTRTGCTTCTCACAGCGGGTTGACATCATGGACTGGTTGTGATGACCCTTTTCCAACCTAATAACATGACTGCTGGTATTTCCCATATTTACCGTGCCCCATCTCCACTTCTCTCGCAGCTGCTGACAGAAAACAATAAAGAAGAATTACTCTGATGGTGCTCTGAGTTAAAATACCCTTAAAAGCTGTTTGAAATAAGCACCATTATGGTATTTACTGTGCCCTTGTCCAGACTCACRTGATGCTTGCAGCTAAATGATGATCAGTTATTGGAGGAATCATTTTAAGGGYTGCTTATCTTGCAGTGGAAATTTGTCCAAAGTAATGGCAAATGTAGAGATGGAGTCTTGGAGCTCGTGGTACATCCAGGAAATTCTCCCTCCATCAGCATCTTCCTGGCCAGGGAATCCCTGCTGCTGGGCTGGGCTTGACCCTTGTGCTTTGTCACTCATTGAGGCTGTGAAAAAAGCAAAAAGGAAATTAACAGTATGGAAAGGAAACCAGAAAAAATAATTGCAGAAATGGAGAACAGAAGGGAATTGTGTGTAGTCCAAGTCTGATTGTATCATCAATAAAAAATCCTGCAGTATCCAATCTCCTTGGTCCTCCACCTCCACAGCACACAAGAAACAGATTTAAAAAAAAAAATATCACCATTTATTTCATTTAAACTTGGGCTTGTTTTCATGCCTTCAACATGCAGTGACAATCACAGACATTCAGGCTTACCCCTGTAAGCCTAAAGACTAGAAACTCATTTGTATAAATTAAATTAACATTGACTGCAGCTCCTCTTTCTTTTACCTGCAGAATCTTGAGTTCATCAGAGCTGTGACCAAGGTGCAGACAGCCCGTTTCAAGATGAGGAGGGACAACATTGTTCTGGATGAAGATGTGCTGCTGTCCCTGCAGGACCTCCCAGACACCTATGATTATGGCATGTACTCCAAATTCATCAACGACTACGGCACCCACTTCATGACATCCGGCACCATGGGGGGCAWCTTTGAGTACATCCTTGTCGTCAACAAGGATGAAATGCGAAGAAAAGGTCAGAGAATCAAAATTATTCTCTCTTCTCAACTTTCTGCCTTAAGCCTGGTATTTAGAATCTGCTTTAAACTGGGTATTTCCAGTCTGGTGGCACTACTSGTGCCTGGGATTAGCTTGAGTGTCACAAAATGCTCTTCCTGCTTTGATTTCAGAAGTATCAGGGTGAGGTTTTCGTCTTTTAGGAAGGAACCTGAACATTATTTTCTCAATTTTTTCAGTGCCACTTGCTAATCTTCTCCTTTTTCTTGTCATCTTTGTTCACCACGAAAGCTCAAGGGCTGCAAAGCCATGCAGAGCTCGGCAGATCAGCCCACTCACATTTTAGCCTGTTCCTAGAGAGGGCTGCAGTTTTCTGTAAATGGAGATATCGTGCTGCAGTACCTCTGCCACTTTGCTTAGTGTCACAGCTGAAGACTAACAGACCCCTGTTAGCTCCAGTTCTCAACAAACTGGAGTGTATGAGRCTGGGGAGCAGTACCTCTAAATCTCAGTTAGATAAAATACCCAGCATGAGAATTGCCACTGCTGGCGAGTCCAAGAATAACATTTTTCCCGATGAAAACATGGGATGCAGAACAATAATACGGGATTTTAGCTCACTAACCAGGCTGTCAGCTTTTGTAAAGGTGTCAACAATGCAATAGATCCCATTTTCCCCAAGAGCCATCACCCTGCTGTGCTGAGGGTACCACAGCCTTGGTAACTCCAGGATACACACTCATGCAGAAGGAAATTGTGATCATGGACAACAGGTGCAAATTGCTATAATTTCAGCAATTTCAACAATTTTCATGGTTCTGCCCCAAATTCTGCCTCTGGTCTGAAATCACCAGCGCTAGATAGCTATGCACTCCATATTGCACATTAACCATGCCAATTTTCCCACAAGAAATTACTGATTGAGAGAATTTTCATCAGGTTCCTGAACCTCTAATGTTTGGAAACACGATGCCTCTTCAAATCACTTCTTCCCTTTGAAGGGTGAGTGATATGGAAGTGAACAAGGTCTTGGCAAGCGAGTCTTCAGGAAGCAGACTGCCAATTTCCAAGGAAGAATTAATCAAGGGCATGTGGAGGGAGGCTATTATTTTGCTTTATCTTGTGCTTGCTGTGTATGTAAGGAGGAGATTTACTGCCACGAGATGCCTTATCTCAGGAAAGAAGGATGCTGAAGTCCAGCAAAAGACAAAAATGCGCCCCAGTAGAGGCATAATTTTCATTCTACTGCAGCCCCATGTAATTTTCATCTAATCCAGGCTGTACCATAAAGTCCAGCCTTAACCAAGCCAGCAGTGCTCAGTGTCACACAACGCTGACCCAGAAGGACCCACCTGCAGTGGCTGATATGCCACTGCCTGAAAGAATTTAGAAAAAAAACCCCTGATTTCTCTAACGTTGATCACAGCCATGCTTGGAGGCTGTGTTTGCAAGGGGATTATCCTTTTTCCCAGAGGAATGGTTGGGATCAGGATGTAAGTGCTCAAGTCTTGAAATCAGAGCTTCCCAAGATGAGTCTGAAGCTCTGCAGGTGCATCACTGAGCCCCCCGGGTCTGAGCTTGAGATCAACCACTGAGAACCCACTCAGCCCACGAGGCTGTTTGCTAAATGCTCTGGAACCCAAAATATTCATCTTTTTATAGATCAGGGACTAAAGCACAAACTCAGGAAAAAGATCTCTCTGCTGAGCCCTCCCTAAATGAGTCACAGCTTAGGTGGTCGCTGAGCATTGGCATAGACTTGAGCTGGACTTTGAGCATTTAGGAAACCTGAATTTTAAAWATTAAATCACCCTCTCTGCTTACAATACCCTGCAGTTTTGCTGCCAGACCCATTTCCAGCTTTCAGGCTGCAAGGGSTTRTATGGATGTGGTCACGAGTGAAATAAATACATATGTCAGAACGAGGTCCCTYGTTGCTCTGCCATCAATATTTTTCATTACTTGTTTTTAAAATAGATTGTTATGGTTCTATTATTTAGCAGAAAACAGTATAATGTGCTCACACATTACAAGAACATTTATGGGAGGAACATTATGCGCCGAGTAAATTAGAAAGAGTCTTCACATATTCTGATTAATTCAAAGTGCGGCAGTAAATCTTATCACTCCAGCACATTTAACTATCGCAAATTATATCATATTAAAAAAAAAAAAAAAAAAAAAAACCTATCAGGGCCCCCCCCTCAAGTGCCAATATTTACTGTGGCCACCCTTTTTGCAGTGATAACCACTTTTCATTTATCAAGGCCTGATCGTGCCGCGACCAATAGCGAAYGGTATCGACAGGCCCTGGCTGAACGTAATTACACAACGGGAGCCGTGGCAAATCAATTAATCAGGGTGTTCCTCAAGTTTAATTTTATGGCACTCCAGCACCGAGATAAGCCATCGCTCGTGCTGCTTTGGGTGGATGAACTTTACCCACTGTGTTTACAACWGTTGAACAGTTTAGCGCAAGTAATCGAGCACTACATGTTTAATTCTTTGTGAGGGCCTGGTTCTGCAGGGACCAGCACTTCAAAGGGGCCTGTGGGAAAGAAAGGTTTTTATCAGGGCCTGTTGTGGTAGGACAAGGAATAAAGGAGAAATTTTTTACTGTGAGGTTGGTGAAACTCTGGCCCAAGTTGCCCAGAGAGGGGGTGGCTGTTCTGTCTCTGGAATCAATTCCAGGTTGGATGTGGCTCTGAGCAAAGCCTGGCTGAAGCTGCCTCTGCCCACATGGCCTTTAAAGGTTTCTTCCAACCCAAACCACTCCATGATGCCACAAAGCCAAAGCTGTGAGTGTTTGAGCAGTGTTTTAAGCACAGACACAGCTCCCCAGAGCTGAGGTGAGGCAGTCCAACCCTGCTCCAGGCTGGGCAAAGGCAGAGATTCAACCCTCAGGCCATTAAACCACAGCACACATTAAACCATCCCCCTGACCTCTATTCTTCCTTTCACCGCCGTGGCATTGACCACCAGGCTCCTCTGTAAAACACTTTGAGTTCCTCTGACAAAAAGAGCGACATAAAAGTTACCAGTTCCTCACAACACCCGCATTTACCAAAATCAATGGGCTTTTCAACTGCTGCAGAAGATGGCCTTGTATTTGCAGTGCTCACATAAAACCAGGCTGTGTGAAATATGCACATTGCTTACCTTGGTGAAACCACCTCGTTAGTCCCCTTCTCCCCTCTGCAGTCGCTTCATGGGTCTCCAGTTAGATATTTTTGTGATGTATGTGGTGGTGGTGGTGGCACAGCAAGGCAGGAAAGTTCTGGCAGCTCTCAGCACACAGACCTTTTCCAAGGTACTGCTCAAGGTGCTGCTTAAGCCATCAATAGGTGGGTCAGATCCTAAATTTAGGAAAATTAGTGAGGATCTATTGATTTCAGCTGCTTTTCCCTAGTTACGGGTTAGCCATACGGGTTAGCCCATAAGAAAATATAAAGGTTTGTTGTTGAATAGATCGAACAGGACAAATGTGCCTGAAGACTTGTGTTAAAGATTTTTACTTTCTTCTAGTGTATTCCAAGGGAACAATTTTTACACCTATGATATAATAGACCCAATATAACTCAATAAAATATTGGGGTTTTCACTGTCCTCTGCCTGGAATAGCTCTTGACTTCGAAATACAAGCCACAAAAATTTTTCTTTTTTAATTTTTTTATTTTTTTAGTTTTTAAAAATTTTTTTTAAATTTTTAAATTTTTTTTTAAATAAAAAATAATTTTTTAAAAAAAATCTTTTCTTCAAAGACAGAAAAAATGATGCAGGAAAATGAACACCCTTCCACAGGAGTCACTGAATTTACCTGGCTGCTTTCTGCTTTGCAGGTGTCACCTCTGAGGAGGTAAGCAGCTGCCTTGGGCTGTCCATTGGCGTTTCATTCAGCATGAGGCAGCTGGGGCTGGGTGTCTCTACCTCAACCTCGGACTGCAAACAGGGAGGGTTCCTGAAAACAGGTATGGCAGCAGGGCAGGGGCTGCTGAGACACCTTGGGACACTTCTGTTGGTCACTTGGACATGGAGATGCTGAGGCACCTTGGGACACTTCTGTTGGTCACTTGGGCATGGAGATGCTGAGACACCTTGAGACACTTCTGTTGGTCACTTGGGCAGGGACTGCTGAGACACCTTGGGACACTTCTGTTGGTCACTTGGGCAGGGGCTGCTGAGGCACCTGGGGACACTTCTGTTGTCACTTGGGCATGGAGATGCTGAGACACCTTGGGACACTTCTGTTGTCACTTGGGCATGGGGATGCTGAGGCACCTGGGGACACTTCTGTTGGTCACTTGGGCATGGAGATTCGAGCAGGGTCACGTGAGGGAGGCAGCTCTGGTGCCATCCCTGAGGCAAGGAGACACCACGGAAATTTTGGGTCTGAGTCTCCAGGAGTACTGATTCATCTTGAAAGAGCAGGAATTGATGTGGCAATGCCTGGATTGGAAACAGGCTGTGGGGTGGCTGAAGGCTGCAGTCCATTGCAGTGACAGATTGGGCATGCACGGCAATTTAAAAAAGTCAAAATTGACTATAAAAAGTACTCAGAGAGGGGACAGAACCCCAGATTTGTACATTTCATAACAAGATACAGATCTCAGTGTGATCTATAGCCCATGTCCCACCCAGAAACCAAGGCTGGAGGAGTGCAGGCCCTTCAGGTCTTATCAGCTTAGAGGATTTGGGATGCTCAGCTTGTCAGCTCTTGATAAGGTGTCAGGGCTCACCCCACAAGCAGAGAACACCGAGCTGCCATCGATCCCAGCAGGCAGCTCCCTGATAGCCCCCTGCACGACTGATCTCACCTCCACTTAGCAGTTTCTGGAGTCTGTGTGCAAACAGCAGCTGAATAACGCTTGTGCAATTCAACTTCCCAGATCCTGAGAGCCACAGCGCAATTGTGGAAGACATTATTCCCCGGATTAAAGGGGGAGACACCAGCTACAGCGAAGGGCTCCTGAACAGCTGGGATGGCAAAATGTACCGTCAGTGGGGAAGGTCGTTAAAATATAATCCTGCTGTTATTGATTTCCAGGTAAGGCTTTTCTGCAGTTGGGAGAAACTCTGAGGAATGAGAGTGTAGCCGAGCAGATCATTCCGTATTTTGATTGTGATCCCATCACAGAACAAGATTAAATGTAATGGGCCGCTGCTCTGGTAACCTCTTATTCATTCCACAATGGGGAGAACAACATGTCCCACTGAGTGCATCTGCAGGGAGACTGACGAGGAGCTTAATGCTGGATTAGTGCCAGGTTAAGTTTCTGATGGGTTCCCCAACAGCTTCACAATGAATTGCAGGTGCATTCATCCCTGTTATTCTCCCTGCTGCCCACCCTCCTGGATAAGCAGGGGACTCCCAGGGGGCTGGGGAAGGTGTTTTGTTTTCCCCACCCCAATAAAGGCTCTGCATAGACAGCCCCCACCCGTGAGTTCTCCGAGCAGGGAGCTCCTGGTTGCTTTGTCAGGTGGGTCCTGTCTTTCTCCACACTCCAAAAAGAGGGCTTGTGGCCATAAAAATCAGCAAGGTTCTGCTCTCCCTTTTGTTTCACTGGATGCCCCATAAAATGGGAAGATCACAGAAGCATCTTATGTGGCTTCTGAGGCAGGGAGGAGGTGCAAGCAGAGAGGGTGGAAAGGGATGGAAAAGAGCAWTCCTAYRGACAAATAACCCWGGGCAGAGYRGGCAGAGGCATGAGGGGGTGGCCACAACTCCTCAGCTGTGGTCAGCAGGACCACAAGCACCCCCAGATCACCGATCTGCTCCAAGAGCAGCTGTGGTGTGCAGGGGAAGGAGCTCCATCACTGCAGGGATACGCTGCCATTTCTATCCCTCTTGTCTTCATCTGAAAGCTCTGACAGGGAGTGGGAGAAGGGAAAATGGATTTGGGAATTATCTGTGTTATTGGCAGGGCAAGAAGGACTGTGCAAACCTTCCCAGGCAGCACCTCAGTGTCGGGGAGATCTGATAACACAGGAGTGCTTTCAGTTCCAGCTGCAGGTTATTCACCTTTTTGCACAAGTTCCCATCAATTCTGGGCAGAATTTCCCCCAGTTTTCCAGTAAACCACGCACTGACCTCTCTGTTGGCTGCCCCACAGCTGAGCAGTCATCCCATAACCAGAGTGGCCGATAAGAGCTCGTGTCCACTGCAGCAGCTTTTATCTGCAGCTCCCTCCATTTGTTGAACAGACTTGTGCAAATTTGCCTAAGAGCTCTTCCCAAAGCCTGGCTGATCCTGATCCTCCCCATGAACCACTCTCACTGCTTTGCACAGTGAGCTGACACTCTGCTCTTCTCTGGAAACAATTCCCAGCCCAGACAGGGAGTGTTTGCACAGGTGCATCAATGGAAAAATAAATAAAAATAAGTGTCCTCAGACAGCTCTGAGTGTTTAGCTTTAATACTAATTTGGATATTAAAACCAGTGGCTCAAGTTTTAATTACAGTTCCCAAACTGGCCTATTTTTGCTGACTGCTGTGTAGGAACTGGATTTTGCTGCTGGAAAATGTGATGAGTGAATTACATCCCCAAAAGCTGTAGATGACAGTATTATTTCACTCCATCAAAGGGTAAAATATATATAAGCAAAAATCCTCATCCTCAGCATTTACTGGATATTTTACAATCTGGCCACTGCAAGTGATAGGGCGGCAATAAATTTTGATGATACTCTCTGTCCAAAGCTCTTACCAAAACATTTTCTTCAAAAAGGCAAAAAGCATGAAAGAATCTCAGGGGTTGTGACAGCACTAAGAAATCAGGAAAAAAAAAAAAAACCCAAAAATGAAAAACGAAAAAACGGGCTTACTGGGGTGTTTTAATTTATCATTCGAATCTATTCTAAACTCCACAGCATGTCCAGAAAAGCCAATCCCACACAAACCTCCAAGATGAGGAAGGTTTTGGAACGGTGGTTTCTCACTGGGGCAGCAACACATTTGCATGATGTGCATGCAGCTGTCGAGGAAGACAAATGAGTTTTTCCCCGAGTCCTGAATTTATCCAGCGGTGTCAGGGCACCCCAGTCGATGCCCAGCTGAAATTGTTTCCACTCTATCCACCTCTATCCATCTCCATCCTCCGCAGCTGGAGCCCATCCATGAAATCCTCCGCAGGAGCGACCTCGCCCACATGGAAACCAAACGGCAGCACCTGAAGCGAGCCCTGGATGAATTCCTGGAAGAATTCAACTCCTGTCGCTGTGGAGGGTGCCTGAATAATGGGGAGCCCATGCTGGTGGGGGACATCTGCTCCTGCCAGTGCCGTCCTGGCTACAGGGGCCCCGCCTGCGAGCAGACTCAGCGCCCAGGTGAGAGCCCAGGGGGCAGCAGGGGAGGGGGAAGGAGCAAAGGGGAGAAATTTCCTCCTCCACGTGGCTAAAAAACAGTTCCTGGTATCCGCACATCAGTCCCACCTTCAATTCTGTTTTAATTGCTGTGGTATCCCAAGGAGCTCTGCAAGAGACTGAGGTCAGCAGCTCAGGACAGAGGGGAATGGATTTAAATGGAAAAAGAGAAGGTTAGATTAGAGATAAAGAAGAAATTCTTCTCTGTGAGGCTGGGGAGGCCCTGGCACAGGCTGCCCCATCCCTGGAAGTGTCCAAGGCCAGGCTGGATAGGGTTTGAAGCACCCTGGAATAGTGGAATGTGTCCCTGTCCACAGCACGGGGTTGGAATGGGATGTTGCCTTCCAACCCAAGCCATTCTACGATTCTGTGATTATTTATAAACAGAGTAGTGGAAATGAGGGTGTGTTTAATTGCTGGATAAATCCATGAAACAAGTCAGAGGGCTTGTGGCATCCCACCAAGAATGGCTGCTCCAAGGGGGAGAGCACAAACCTCATGGGGTAGGAAGCAATGGGAAGGGGAAAGGCTCAGGTGAAGCAACTGGTCAAACAACATAAATGCTCCTTTAGTAAAAGATTGCCACATTTCCAGATTTCCCAGGATGCATTTTGACTAGAGGGAAGTGTCTGTTTTGAGAAAAAATATGTTTTTCTGAAGTGACAGGCTTATATTTATGTTTTCTTTGTCACTTTCTATACTATCCTAAAAAGTTAAGTGGGTAGCAAAAACAGCCGGAACAGGCTCTTTCATTTCCAAAAAGAAGTTGCAGCTCTCTCTGGATATTTTTGTCCTGATTCATGATTAAAAAAAAAAAAAAAAAAATCTAAATCTCAGCACACAAAGCTGGCAGAAAAATCCATCTTCAGAGCAGCTCCACCAGGCAGAGCTCCAGTCCTTCAACCGTGGGCTCATCACTGGGGCCTCACCAGCAGAAAATCAAAGCTGTGATGAAAAAAGGAGTTGGAGCAGAGCTAGAGATAGTTTGTGAAGCTGAATGCTGAAGCTTTGCTTCAGTGACTGCAAAGCAGGTTTCTTTAAAAAGCTCAGATTCCTTAAGGTGTCTCCAAATCTCAAGAATTCGCTTGGCAACTCAGGACCTGCCTGCACTCCTTGATTTTAACAACAGCGGGGACAAGCACCCTTCTAACTTGTAAGCAATTCTTTTCTTTCAGTTTTTTCAGTCCCAAAACTCATTTAAAACCCAACTAAATTTTTATTTATTTTTTAATAAAGCATCATGTTCCAGCAGATGGAAAGCCCAGCTTTCCCAGCCAGCACTAAGTAAGAGCACACACATCCATTTGTGCTGTCTGGATTAATAAAGTGCCCAAGCCAGGCATGAAGGCCAGATGAGTAAATAAAAAACGACAGTAAATGACAGCCATCAAGCATTCCCATCATTCAGGAGCACCGCCATAATCCATAGTATCGACCGCTCCTGACAACTCAGTCTGTACTGTAATGAAAAAGCTTTGAAATGACCCATCTCCAAAAGGACTTTTCACAACGTCCCCACCACGTTAGGGGACTTTTGTCCCTCTGCCTTGCTCAGAGGTGAGAGAGTTGCTGCAGAGAGAGCTGTCAGCTGCCCCTTGGGAAAGGAAAACCAAGGCACAGGCTCTCAAATGAGAAGAAAAATAAACAGTTGTTGGTGTTTCGGTGTTTGGGGTGATGATGTTTTATCCACCCTGGCTTTGAAGTGCCTTGATCTCAACAGCCTGTGCATGGCTGGGATAGAGCAGGAAGTCCATGACCCGAGAGCTGCCAGCCAGAGCTGAAGCTCCTCTTTTTGTTTGTTTTTTCCTTTCTTTTCTGTGTCCCCAGCTGCTGAGATGGACGGGCACTGGAGCTGCTGGTCGGGCTGGTCCCCGTGCCAGGCGGGGACATCGCGGCGCAGCCGGGAGTGCTCCAACCCGGCCCCACAGAACGGGGGACAGCCCTGTGCTGGGAGGAACGTCCAGACCAGAGCCTGCTGAAACCCCAAAGTGCCTGGAGAAGGGTGGTTTGGAACCTGGGCTGGGCTATAAATACTCCAGGTATGCAATGGAATCACCACCGGGAGAAATAATTGAGTGGTGGTGATGCGTTTCTGTACGTGCCAGATTTGCTGTGTAAAATCTGAGTGACTGCTCCGGTGGTTTTGGGATAGAAGCCACATCAGATGGGGTGGGAGCCCCACTAGTGCCCAGCACCACTGCTGCAGCACAAGGGATGACAGGGAATCCACCCAAAGGAGGTGCCTTTTCTGCTGGGTGACCACAGGGCTGCAGCCAGTCATAAAAAAAAAAAAAAAATTTATTTTATTTGAATGAAATAAATTCACTGCGAGTGTTTACACAACTGAGCCTGACTCTCGGGAAGTTTATGGATTTCCCTTTGGGAAACACACGGAAAGCTCACGATCTTTGCGTTCCCGTGCAGTTGGTATTGACATATGTACCACGAAACTTTTGTGAGTTGGCACTGTCAGATTTGTGAGTCCAGCATATTGGCCAGGGCTGCATTTGCAGCAAAGCCATATGCTGCTCTGCGTGGAGAAAGCCTTCAGCCCAAAGATGCCGAAGCATCTTCGCAAAATGTGAGCCCAAAGCCCCGAGGAATTTCAAATAAATAAATAAAGTAATAAATAGAGAGGCTTGAAGGCGTTCGCTCGGCAGAGGATGTTCACACACGAGCGAAGGCTTTTCCTCCGTAAGATCAGTGATGAATTGACTATTAGCACGCAGGCATTTTATCTCACAGGCACACAGAGCCTGAGAAGATGCTAACAGGCTGCTTGATTTAAGGGGCTTTTTTGAATGTAGGACGTAAATCTCAGCACAAGAATGCACACGGTATTGAACTGTGTCCAGAGACTGCAGTGAGAGCCTGCAGCTCCCTTTCCTTAATGAACTGCCACGAAAAAAAAAAACCAACCAAACAAAACTGGGATGGACGGGAGGCGAATGGCACTTCATTTCACTGAGCTTTTCATCACGAGGGGAGAAGGGGGGAAAAAAAAACCCTGAGAAGGAATCAGGCATTATGAACAACAACAGCACCAAAACCTCAAAGCACAAAGCGGCCCTTCTGCAGACATTTGAATGGAAAGAGGGAGTAGAAAGGAATCGAGGTTTAGTGAAAGAAATTGCTCAGGTGCTTGGAAATGCTTGTTTTTCAACTGTGTGTCGGTGGGGATTTACAGGCTGACACTCAGCTGATGTAAATCAGTGTTGCTCCATCGCTGCTGCTGATTTATGGCACCTGAAGAGTTGGCCCCATATTTTTTTTTGTGGGCATGTTTGCCAAAGGCCGATTTTTTCACCGCTTTCCTTTTTGCTTGTAAATGAAACTACGGGCTGAAAACAACAAACCATGCTGTCTCAAACCCTGAGATGGATTGCTGTGTGAAAAAATCCCTTTGCTGAGGGGCAAAGCTGTGGCCTTTTGGCCAACTTTGCTATTCCAGGTGAAGGAGCTGTTCACCCAGAGAGGAATATGCTCCCAAGGGCTCGAATCTGATGCCTTCTGTGCAAGGAAAATGCAGCAGCATGGAGCACCCATGGATTGGTGTGACAGACATCCCAGAGGAATATGGAATGTAGGATCACATCAGGGGATTTAAGGAATGCTGTTTGATACTGGGATGGCAGGGAATGTGGAAACACCAAGGGCCAGTTGGGCTCTGACAAATTCTTACCTTTACATTGACTGCTTAGGAGTCAGGAAAACGCCTGTAAATGCAAATAAATGAGTATGAAGTCACCTCAGTCGGAAAGCCAAGTACATTTCTTTTTTTGACCACAGGGGAGAAATTAATGACCAGAAAGATCTGATGCCTTGGAGGCTGGGAAAGGATGGGGCCTGCAGGAAGGCAAGCTGCACCCTCAGCTTTCAGAGCTGTTTCTAGAAGGATAAATCACTGAAGAGCCAAAAAAAAAAAAAAAAAAAAAAATCCAAGTGATTAAAGAAACTGCATGCAAAATGCCACCATGAAACATGTAAGAGCAGAAAAGCTGTGTTTTACCTGCAATTGTTCCTTCTCATCATTCACCTTACAGCCCAAGGCACTGAGAAAACCCAAAGGCTTCCTTTAAACACCAAAGGCAGGTGGGAAGTGCCCCTCCAGCCCCCTGCCACCCCCAGGGCTCAAATCTCCACATGCTGAAACCCAGGAGCAGCAAAGCTGAAGTCAGAAAAAATGAAGAAGCTGCCTGTAAGGTCTGGGGAAAAAAAACCCAAAAAAACAAAAAAAAACCCCCTCCAAACCAAGAAAAGATTATGAGCAATTACACATTTACAATGGCAGTGGAAGAAGCTAATATATCTCGTGCTGAAGTGGGCAACAGGAGAGTTGTGCAAGATGAGATAAGCAGCAAAAACGTACGTTTCTTAGTTAAACTAAAAGCTTAGAGGGTGCAATAAAACACTGCAGTTCCACCCGGGTTTTAATGAATGGATTTTCCCCTCTTGCACACTGACATACATTTGATATAGTTATTTATCCTATATATTTCTGGCGGCGTATTTCCCAGGAGGCCTTGTTTATCTCGCTCATAAGCACATGATGGATGTGTGGCGCTTTGGATAAATGGTATCACAATCAGATATTTTTATGGATATAGGCAAACCGGGTTATTAACAAAGGAAGGGCAGAGAGGAACCAGCACGCAGAAGAAAATAGGAAATGATTGATGACAATACACCTGAGGTGGCAAGGTGTAGGCTCCAGATAACCAGCTAACAGAGGAGGAGATAAGGGCAGTGCTTGAGACAGAGCTGTTTTCTACCTCAGGGTCAATGTCACATCAGCTGCCCCAACGCCTGCATCCCTCTGGGTCTGGGGTTTTTAAATAATTCCCCAGCAGGAGTAGCTCAAAAATTGTTGCCTCCTTTTTTTATACAGTGAAATGCACAGGTACAGGAGATACAAAACATTTAATCCCACCAGAAAAACTTGAAACATCAAAAATTCCAGGTTTTGGCAAATTTGGAGAGGGACTGGCATTTGTGATGCTGCTCTACATCACAGTGGTACCTGTGGTGCTGCACTAAAAATAAGTATTTGTTCTTAATGGTAATAATTACTGTTTTCATCTCTAGCTCTTTGATTCACAGAAGCAGGGGGTATTAAAATGGGATATCAAAGGAAGATAAATCTGCAGGCATGATTTGACCTGGAATCTGGCAGCTGTATTTGGGGCTTACTGGGCTCTTCAGCCAGTGGGGTGGAACCAGGAGCTGGAAATTTGGGACTGTGAACAGCTCTGTGTGGAATTTCTGGGTTGTTTTCAACAAAGCAGGGGGAGAATATGGACAGGAACAGCTACTACCATCTGACAGAGGAAGAAACAGCAGCATGGTAAAGGAATTCAGCAGTACTGAGTGTGCAAATTCCCTGGACCGTGTTCCAGCCTCACAGATCTGCGTGAGGTGACACAGCAGGGAGCACAGAAATCCAGGCTGGAGAGCAGTGCAGTTTCCCACTGCTGGTGGAGACATTAGGGGTGGCGAATTCCAGCTGGCTTTGTTCTGGTAAAGCTGGATGTGGCAATTCCACCTCACCTGAAATGCCCTTTTGAGAGCTCCCAGAGCCACACTCATATGACATCACAGCAGCAATGTCTCCAAGCAGGGAAGGTGCCAATAAATCCAGCCTCTTCATGTTTATCCTCTTTCTCTCAAGCAAACTGTTGTGAAAATATACCATGGGATGTCATAGAGCCCACTGAGATGAGTATCTCAACCAGAGAAATGGGCCAGAGCAGCCCAAGCAGGGCTGGACACGTGCACAGCCCGCCCGAGTTCTCACCCGTGGGTTATCAATCTGAACTTACACAGGCAGTGCGAGTTAGGAACACCCGTAAAAGATGGTACCAAAATTTAATGTGAACCAAAATGAAACAATAAAAGCTTCAGCATAGTTTTTTATTACCCTCCAGGTTGTAATAAATCATTAGTTGGGCGAATCAAAGCACAAAATCAAAGCAAGGACGAGATGAAGTTATGTCCTTTACGGGAGGCTTCTAAGCCTACAGGCTCAATATTCAACACTGCTGAACTCATACTTCAGTCAGACTATCCTCACAATCTTTGACGACTGTCAAATCTCTCCTCTCTTCCTTAAAAAGAAAAACAAACCCAAATTTACAAACTCAGGTACTGCCACCACTTCAAAAAACCTGGGCTTTTCTGATTTGGGAACAACAGTCTCAACTCTGGTCACTACACTCGGCTCTCCTTGTCACAGCAAGGGATAGAAGCACCCTGCTGTGTGTTTAACCAGCTTGATGATCAGGAAAGGTGGGTAAATTGACAAAAGCCACTTGGCTCACCTGGGAAATGCCCTTAATTCTGTGATTCTGTACACTGACGATTCTCAAGAAGAGCAGGCGATGACACTGCAGCTCGTGTCCTCAGAGGCACCCATGAACCATGCTCAGGGTCCTCAGCTCCAGGGCTTCTACAGCACCCCTTCAAAAACCTTGGAGCAATATCATCCTGCAGTGCTCTCTTTGACCATGGCCCCAAGAACAACCTCTTGGCAAATTTCCATCACACAAAAGATATCACAGCTACGCAGCAGAAAAGGGAAATGTTTTGGGTTGGCAGCTCAGTGATGAAGCCCATAATGAGTGCAGAGCCCCCTTGTTTTACATATGCAATGTGCTCTGCCTTTTTCAAAGCTGTCAAGGAGCCCTGTTGGTACGTGTGGAGGCGGTGTGAGGGCTACAACTAAATGCACGTTCCATTGTTGAAATGTCAGAGAGCCTGAGCTGCTCTCACAGGAGCTGCATTCAGATGGTGTCAGTCTGAAAGGAACGGAGCGGGCGATAGCAGCCCAGCATCACCAGCACTGCTGGAAACCCTCAGCACACAGTCTGACCTTGCAGCTGCTGGGAGACTCAGGAACAGCTCTGCACTGGTGGAATTGCCTGGGTGTTTTGCAGCAGGCACCACCAAATGTCTTTGCAAAAAGCATTAACCACCAACAAAGCTGTGAGAAACAAGTCCCTGGAATGATCCAGGCTCATGAAATGGTGCACGGTGTTTTGAGTTCCTCTGTTGTTAGAGCTGGACTGTGATGCACAGCTCCAGGGATGGTAAAAACCATCCAATTTGGTTAATAAGCATCCAGGCAAACCATTCCATTTGTCTCTTTTCATAAAGAACCCTCTCCAAATCAGTTGTCCCACCCTGGGGAGGCAGCAGGGGAATATTGGCCTTTATGGGATCTCATTGATGAAGCAGAGATTGTCTGGGGCAAAGACAGCTCCTAAGGGCAGAAGGCCTCAGGGGATGTGCAAACAGCTTTTTCAAAATGTTCCATTTGT